CCCCAAAACCCCAAAACCCCAAAACCCCATGAGAGGGTAATCTGAAGTTGATGGTAGAATGATAAATGCAAAATACACTAATGCAGAGGTGTGAAATAAATGAGCAAAATCAGATAAATGGAAGAATAGCCCAGATCGGCTACTTAAAGATAAATAACCTGTGAATAATCTTGACTAGCTCACGTATAATTTCCTGTTTCCCACACTTTCAGCTTTGGTTGAACATGCTAAAATCATAAGAAGCATTGACATAACCTCAATATTCCCTACAATCCCAGAAGCAGGAAATTATCCAAAGACCTTGAGATTGCCTAAAAATAATCTTAGATTCTCAGGAAAAAGGTTTTAGCTTAGGGCTAATGCTAAAAAAATTTTAATCATATTTTCCATGCGAACCCAAATTGATAATGACATAATTTCTTCTTAATTTTGACACCGGTCCATAAATTGATTTTCGAGAGATACTAATTTTATCTGACCATGCGTCAAAAAGTACTGTAAACTTCTATATTCAGATAAATTTATTTTCTAGGTATTTAAAGTTTACAATTGTAATGAAATTTAATACCTGTAAAACACTTACAAAACTTACTCAAACAAACAACACATATCAAAATGAAAAGACCATATGAATGTAACCACCAAGAATGTGATAAGAAATTCACAACCAGATTCTCATTAAGAAGACACATCGCTACTCATTAACCAGCAAAGCAATTCGTTTGTGTCATCTGCTTCAAAAAGTTCGCTCTAGCATAATACTTAAAGGAACACACATACATCCACACTGGATAAAAGCCTTTCAAATGCCCATATGACGGATGCACCAAGGCTTTCAGACAAGCTGGAAAGCTTTCAATGCACAAGAAATTCCACTAGAACAAGATCTTCATCGTTTAAAAAATCAAGAAGAGACCAGTAGTTGCAACTAACTCATTCAAAAAGACTCTCAAATGTGAAAACTCCTGCAGCCTAGATTCTACTCATGAAATGAAGGTTGAGATCCCTCTCTTCAAGAAATTCATTCAAAGCTCTGAGGGCTCACTCTCTACTAATGAGGACCTTATCAATAGTTCAGCTAGTCATTCACCAAGATCAATGACAACTGATTTCTAGCAAGAAAACTTAACATTCTAAAATATTCTAAAATAACAATAAATTCAACTACAAGAAGAAGAGCAAGTCCTACGTTTCATTGATAACCTACAGTACCCATCAATGGTTATGACCAGAATGATGCCAGTACCAGGTTCCTTCAACTAATCCTCCTTTGCTTATCCTTAGAAAATTGAGCAATAAGGGATTTCCAATAACTAATTATTCTTACAATAGAGACTTCCTCAAGCCTTTTGAAACATTAGAGTCATCATTATTAAAGTTGTAACTTTTAGAATTGTAAATACTAATATAAGTTGGTATCTGCGAGACTTCTTAAGATGGTTCAATGATATCAGCACCCTATATTTCTTAATTCCTTCTAAACATTAAAAAAATTCACTCTTATGTTAACTTTACTTAATCACAGGTATTTGATTTGTTTGTCTTTTTAATGGCTTTAACTCAATTTTATAATGAAATCTGAAATTTTCTATAATGCAATCCACTCCATAATTTCTATTTATGTCGCATGGGGTTTTGGGGTTTTGGGGTTTTGGGGTTTTGGGG